TCAGAGTCCGCGACAGAATCGTCCAGCCAGGTCTCCGTTATTGCGATAATTGAAGGATAAACATCACCAAAAGTCAACCTTAATTCATCCATGTGCTTTAGTATACTTCTGGTATTGATGTGAACAATCATGCTTGAGCGTTTGCCATGAGTAATGTTCTGGGTAGTAGTTCTGAGTAGCGTCTGTCTTTCCACTGGGCCAGGATCGATTTGACGAGACATCACAGCATAGGGCGAAATAAGCGCTGATTTGGACGTTTGCATCGAACGGCAAGACAACCGCGTGTGTTCCTCGTTTCACTTGCTTCAATATAGCAACCCCGAGAGAAGTCGAACGACGAGAGCAGATAATTAAACCGGGTTTGAGTAGTAGACCATGAAAATAAACTTTGTCGAAAACGCGACCAATTGAGATTGAAGCAATCTGGACACCACGGGGTTCAAGATACCATGCAACCGCAAGTGGACTTGGTATATCTGTCATCTCAACCTTGGTTACCGACCTAAATCATGGTTGATTGCAGGGTAAATCGAAAATGCTACGCAGCAATAATAAATTCGGTCCAGCTCCAATTGCATCGTGGCAGAGGTAAAGTTACTTGTCAAGTTATGTATTAATGAAAACAGCTTCGGACTGGCAGCTGAAGCATATCGAAGTTTAACTAGACAGTGTGCTTGTCATAGATTAGCACAGATTAACGAAGTTTGGATGCTGAATTTAGGTCTGAGAAAGGTCAAACAAGAAACCACAGCACCGCAGATAACTTTATTTTACCGAACACCGTAGCGTGAAAAACACAAAATCGCACACCAAAGGGTTTGAGATCACCAATGCATCACCGCTTAAAAAAACAAAAGAACAAGCTTAATTTTTGGTCCGTGGGCAGCTTTAAAGCTCCCATTCAATTTGCGTTTATGAAAATCCTCTCGCACGCCCAAAGCACAGGGAACCCGTGCACTTTATCAGCAATAACATAATCATTAACCAAATAAAAGCACTGTTAAGGTCCAGTAATACGGGCAACATTTTTCTTCAACTTGTCTCGCACCATTGTTGCATTGCAAGTTTGTGACCAACTTGTCTCGCAGCAAAACACGGTGTTGCAAGTTGAGGCAACATGTTGCGCAAAGTAGACTCGAGTTCTGCTTTCCGCAACCGGACAAAGTTCAGTTTTGCTGCTCGTATTATCACTGAAGCTACAACTTGTCTCGCAACAAATTTGAATTCAACGCTTGTGATTGGCTGTCGGAAAGCGCGGCAACGCGGCAAACAAAACAATCATGGCGGACGGTGAAGACGAGCGTCAATTCGAAGTAGGCCAGTAACTCTCGCAAAGTCATAAATTTGCCCTGTACAAAGACCTCGAGGGCTAACATAGTCTTTGGGACACCTCGTTTGCCCCTCCAAAACAAGCGGCAAAAGGGGCAAAAGGCTTGGAAGCACTGTCGCAAACATACAACTTTTCGCCTAGCTATCTGAAACGACACTGAGCTTTACTCTAAGAGAACTTGGCTGGCGCGGAAAATTAAGAAGAAAATGACGCCCAGAACTAGAAGTGCAAGTTCGTCGAAACGCTTAATTATGAAAGAAGGAACCATTTTTATTTACACACGATTGACCAATCATACGTGTAGAATTCCGCAGACTTGCAACACTGTATTATGTTGCGAGACAAGTTGG